CACATAGGTACCAAATTAAAAATTGAGAGAAAGTATAGGTACTTTCAATATGGTTTTCCCTAGAAATAATTTAAATAAAACGTAAACGAATGGCCCCAACTCGTGAATAATTAATATAGCTCATTGCACTATGTGTTAAGTTCGAGGCTGAGTTTTTAGTTTTGTCCTAATAATAGATTTCATTTTTGAAACAAGTTAACACAAATTTAAAAATACGACAGGGTAAGAACATACTACCTTAGCTTTTAATAAAAATAGATGAATTTAACTGATTTGAGTATATTAAAAAATTAATAAAATTTGTTATTTTAAAAAAAAACGTGTGTTAATTTTTTCAAAATACTCTGATAAATAATTTGTATTGAAATCACCCTCAGTGCAAATTCATGGATAGTTTGAAAAGTATGAGAATAAATAAATTAGGATTTTACATTTATAATCAAATATAACTCATAATTACTTCTTATATTAGACACGAGAATAATTTACTGTGGATAAAATGTTTAAACCGAATTTCAGAATTACCAATTGGGTTTTTTTTTTGTTTTTTGAGGGGTGGGGGTAAGAGAATAAGGAATCAGGGATAAAAGGATTGAGTTTGCTTGTAACGGTTGAATGCGTGTAAATGAGAAGCGACGACTTTTGTTTTGATTTTTTTTTGGCCTTTTTTTGGTGCCAAAAAAAAAAAAGGACGGATAGGCGGTTGGTGGAAGCTGCCTGGAATTTGCTGACCACTCACCCGCCGTCCAACCTCGGATTCTGGTACCATCAATTTCCACGTCAGCGTTGGTCTTGTCAGTATCCCACGCGTACCTTATAGTACTCTCTCCCACCTTCTGTCTCCTTTTGATTTTTAGTTAGCTATGGGAAGTCACCCCATACCATGCATCTATTCTCAATTCAAATTAAAATTAGAAAAATTGCTGAAAAAATCTGTATTGTAAAATTTATGAAGAATTATAATCAAATTCTAAGTAAGAAATATAATTAATAAAAAAATTATTGATAACAGGACAACTTCCAATGACAAGTTTTAGGATAATAAATGATAACTGTTCACTTCTTCATTAACACTTATTGATAATTATTTTTTTTTTTGAAATCTCATTGTAATTCTTTTTAAAATTCATTATGGCATCTAAAGATTTAGATTCTTAAAAGGACACAGCTTCCGGTTTTATTTATAAGATCTCTGTTGTAAATTATAAATGAAGTCTTATAAATAGGACCAAAGAAAATATAACTTATATTTAGGTATATGTAACATATTTTCAAAACTTTGAAATTTATAGAGTTTTCACTTTTCCATTATCTCTATCTTATTTTTGCAATTGAGTTTTAAGGATTTACACAACTAAACTATGCTCCTTATCATGTAAGGGTACTTTTCGTGCGTTTTATTTATTTCTTCTTCTTGCTCCTTTCTTTCTTTTTTTTTTTTAAGATCTAACCTTAGCCTTTTTCTGGAATTTTATAAATTCCTCATCATTCAAATGTCATTTTGATACTATGATCCTTCCATGTCTTAGCCCATGAGTTTTTGTAATTATATGTGACATTATATTATATATTAATTTATCTAACTTATAAACTAGGTTTATAGTCCTATAAACCTAGTTTATAAGTTAGATAAATTAATTTTAAAAAAATAAACATAAAAAAAAAGATGAATTAAGATATTATATTTAATACTAAAATAAATGTTCTAACTAGCTTATCCATTTAACATGGGACTGTATATATATTTTTTATTTAGTACTATATTCGATCCTGAAAATAAGAGACAGTTAAATATTCAAATTAGTCCTAAATATAAGGCCATGATCCATTTTATCTATCATATTTATTTATTTTTCTCTAAAGCAATCTTTATGATGATTGCACGTGTTAAAATGTTTCATTATAATGCATATAATTAATAAGAATATTTTATAAAATACAACACTTATTTATTAGAAATAAATAATTTAATTAATTCTTTTTGTATTCGTAAATTAGTTATCTAGTTTTTATAATAAGAATAGTAAGTAATATCTTTTTTTGGTAAAAAATAAATTATATGAAATGAAGAAAGTTATACACTATGACTGACATTAATGAGAAGTTAATAAAACCTCAGTTTTATAAAAAGAGTAACCAGAAAAAGATTGAAATAATATATTAATATCTTTTGCCGAAATGCCACTTAAATCAGAAGAACCGAGTAGACCACTGAGCATAAGATAAGTCAATGATAAGGTTGACTTGAAAATTAGGGTGCTTCAAAGCATATCCCGTAAATCAAAAGGGTTGGTTCTTGCTTGCAAGGGTTGAAAAGCGGAAAACGTGTGTAGGAAAAACCCAAGACCTTTCATTGGTTAAAATGGACGGAGAGGGGCCCCAAAAATGTGTGGGCCACACCATTTCTTTCCAACGGTGGAATCCCGGTGGGTTGTTATCTATCCCACGTGTGCCTGCCTCCCTGCCCGCCTGCCTAGCTCACGGTCTTTGATTTTCAATTTTCATCCCAACTACTCCCTCTCGTATTATTACCTCTTATTTTTAATATACAATTTAGATAATTAATTTAGAGAGATTAAAAAAATTAGTTAAGTTAGTTATTTATTATAAATATGTATTATTTTTTTTAGAATACCCTTACTAATCATATATATAAGTTAGAATTACCATTTGATGAAATATTTAACACATATAACTACTATAAGGATTACTTTGAAAAAAATGAATAAATATGAAAGACAAAATCAATTGGAGTTTTATCTTTATGATCAAATTGAAAATTAAACAAACTCTTATATTAAAGATCGGAAGTAATATTTATAAGATTCAAATTTAAAAATAAGTGTAGTTCATTTTATAAGCTTCGATTTGACTTTATCTCAACATTTAATGCATTTTTTTCATTTTACTCTTAATTATTTATTTTCTCTCATTTGTCATATTCTTTTCTTCCATATTTCCAAACAGATTCTCTTTAATCCTCTTTCTTATTTATTACAAAAGTATATTTAGAAATAAAAGTACATTTCTAATATATTTATTATTTTTAACTAATTTTAATTAATAGTTTATTATCTAAAAATTAATTATTTAAAGCTTACAACAACAGAAGGAGGTATTATTTTGCCAACTACAAGAAGAGACCCCGCCAGAGGACTGTTTGAATTTTTGGAGAATAATCCACAAGGACTACGACAATGTGGGGTAACAACCCCATGAAATCATATTACTTTTTATTTCAAATATAAAACCTAGCTTATAATTTAATTTAAATTAAAACTAGGTCTTATATTTAAAATTGGAGGTAGTGATAAACAATTAAGAATAAACCACTATTTTGATCAGTTTAATTTTACGAACGATTTGATTTTCTGTATTTGATTTATATCATTATAAAATTTGATAAAAATTAATTTAATTTGAAATTTTCAACTTGAAATCAAATCTTGACTCAGCTCATGGTTTTGTTAAAGTTGTGTGTTTCATATAAAACTAAAATGCCAGCGCGCCTCTATTCGCTCTCACAAGAAATCCCCACAGAGAGCTTCCCAGAAACTGAAAACTGAAAAGCTTCCAATTCGTTATTTTATTTTCAGGGTTTTATAAACTGGCCTTATTATGGGTACGGGAAAATTTTGGGCCCATTTGGTTGGTTATAAGGTCATGTTTTACAAAAAAGGAAAACCCAAGCATTTCAACATACCAAACATGGCCCTATCTATTCCTTGACATTTAGTACCCCATAACTTGCCTGGCCCAAAAAGAAGTCTAGATCCTCTGTTTTTTTTAGTTGAACTTTAATTTACAAAAAAAGTTCTAGAATCAGATCCATGGTGGCCACCACTAGTTTGATCATGAATCTTGGTATTTATATGCTACCTATCTCCCATGCTTAGATAAAAGAATTCAAGTTACTCTGTCTTCTATTTTTCTTTAAAATATTCTTATTGATTGTAAGAAGTTTCTATCAAGGGACAATTTCAATCATCCAATTTATATGATTGAAGGGGATAGTTAGAAAAACCAATGACAAATAACTAATTTAATAAAATTTTTTAATATTTTTAAGTTAGTTATCTAACTCTTATACTCCCCTGGTTTTATTTATATGGTAGAGAGAAGATCCTTTTTGGCCCTATTTATAGAGTACTGAGAGAAATTTTTTATATGAATATACAATTTTATCTCTCATTTATTACTGTGTTGACTTTGTTTGCATAAGATATAATGTATATTAAATAGGGATAAAATTAAAAAGTTATTAAATTTTAAATGAGAGTTAATGATGTTCAAGGTTTTTTTTTTGATCTGTGTAAAATATACTGGAAGTGACTTATAAATAGGACTATATATTGTCCCTGAAATTTATAATTATTTTTAAACCATCATTATTGACCGCTGAATTTTTATTAATAAGATAATTTTCAATGTAAATAATTAAAAGAATATCTTATAGAAATCAATGTAAAAATTTTACAAATAAAGAATATCTTATAGAAATCAATATACAAATAACTAGTTTAATTATTTTTTAAATATCTATAAATTATTTATTAGGAGGAAGTATTTAGTATTTAGGGAAAACCATATTGAAGGTACTTATACTTTCTCTCAATTTTTAATTTGGTACTTATGTGTTTTTTTCCCTTTAATTAAACATTTAATTTTATCTTTTTAGCAACATTAGCTATTATAACTTTGTTCTATTGATATTTTTAGTCTCTACATAAGGATTAATGATGTTAATAGAGGAAAAATAAAGATTTAGTTAAGAACAAAAAACACATAGATACCAAATTGAAAATTGAAAAAAAGTATAAGTACCTCCAATATGATTTTCCTTAGTATTTATTACATGAACACATAAATGTTTGATATTTACAATATTAATTTAGTCCGCCATTCCCCATACGAGTGGCTCCTTTTCGCTCTGCAATTTGTGAGCCTCAGGCGCAGAAGGGTTCTGTCCACTCGTTGGAGGCTTCTTGTCTGATTCCGACTTCATAAAACAAAACACGCACCAGATTTCAGCAAATGCACTTCCACCATGGCTTCCCTTCTCAAAGCTTCTTCCTTTATTTCTCCTCTACAACTTAACAAGGTAGTTTTTCCAGTTACAGTCATGTCGCAATCTCGCATACATCAAACTCTTGTGTTGCTTGTTATTTGAGGTTTTACAGGACTTTTAAGTTGGGAAATTGGGAATTTGGTTCTCTAGTTGTGATCAGGGAAATAAAGGGTTTGAATCTAGGGAATGAATATGACACAGTCTTTGTCTTGAGTTAGAGGAAGAGGGTAATGGAATATTTGATTTTGTGTTGTGGGAAATATCATGCGGAACGAAGAATTGAGCTTAAAGAAACTTAAGCTGTAGTAATCCATTAGCTTGAGAAGAGACTTTCCTGTGGGGAAAAATTTCTTCAAACAAGGGGAAAGAGAGTTTTCATTTAACGTCCGTTTTCTTCAGATTCCCTCTCTTCCTTTCGTCTCTTAACATCTTGATTCTTCTCTAAATCATCTGGCTTATTCTTCTCTTTTCCTCTTCTCTTGTAGGCGAATTATGTTAGCTTCCCAGTGAAATTCGATCATGCTTTCGGAAGAACTGGTAGATGTCCTGTGTCTAGTTTGTCAGTGAAAGCTCAGCAGATTGAGGGAAATGTGCTCGAGAAAGAACCAGTTCGCGCCAACGAAGAAATGGGTATGCTGTTGAAGGATACCTTTATCACGCCGTCATCTTTTACACCAGAACACCACATTATTTGCTCCAAATAGATAGTGTCTCGTACTGCTGCTATATTTTTATTTAAGCACCTAATGGAAAATATGCTAATTATTGTTAATTTCCTGATATTAATATATTTCGGACTAGATTTTCCTTATCCATCTTGTTATTTAGATTTGAGTCATAAAGGGAAGCATATAGCCTACCTTTCCTATTTTATGTTCTTATCCAATTCATGCTGCTGTTATTTTTCAGATTATGGGGTTGTTAGTGTACACCATGTTGGAATTTTATGTGAGAACTTGGAAAAATCACTAGACTTCTACCAAAACGTGCTAGGTATGTATATTTGCTCTCTAACTAATATTTTTTCTGTACACTTTGTTTTTGACAAGAATAAACTGTTTCAACAACTGGTTTCAATGCAAATCAGGTCTCAAGATTAATGAAGCCAGGCCGCATGATAAGCTTCCATACAGAGGTGCTTGGCTTTGGGTAGGTTCTGAGATGATTCATTTGATGGAGCTTCCAAATCCTGATCCTTTAACTGGAAGACCTGAACATGGAGGTCGAGATCGTCATACATGCATCGCAATCCGGGATGTGTCGAAGCTGAAAACAATCCTTGATGAAGCTGGTACTCCTTTCCTTGTTTAAATTTAATACCTTGCCCTTCACCATGTCTTCCTGTTTGGCCCCTAGCTGTGAAGTTTTTGTACTGTCTATTATATCTTCATAATCATTATTCAATAGTTTTATGTTTTTTCTTTTTGTTATTTTTCATACATAGGGAAATAAGGATCATTTTTCATCTTCATCACCATTTTGTTCAATTCATTTATTTTTCTGATTACCAAACAAACTCTTAGTTTGAGTGTTTTCTTACACTTCAGGTATACCTTACACACTAAGCAAATCTGGAAGACCAGCAATCTTCACACGTGATCCAGATGCTAATGCTCTAGAATTTACACAAGTAGACGTCTGATATTATTGGCTATTGAGTTGGATAAAAAGTCTCTAGAAATGAGTGTACAGATGAATTCATATATGTAATGTAAAGGATTACGCATATTGAACACTACTCAAGTAACCTGCCATGCAGAAGCAGCATCAATGTATTAGCTGATCTTGTATGATGGTGCTGTTTTTCATAGTGATATCATATTCAGAGTACATCTTTTTTTTCATTTTGGGTCAGAATATTAAGAATATATTTTAATATTAACATATCTATAGAGATGAAGATGCATTGTTGAAAAGCTTGTAAATAGTCCAGTTTATCTCAGGTTATGTGTAAATGCACGGAGTGCACTCCGGTTGCATATGAAAATGTGAAAAAAGATACTATTAACTCCTCCAATTTAAGGACACTCCAAAAAAGAGCGACAATGTGTAGTGGTAAGTGAAATCGTGGGAAGATGTTCGACAAGATTAGAAACACAAAATTCAGTCCAAAATGATTAGAAACAGAAAAACCAAAAGGCCATCGGACAATTTACATACCTGAAATATCTATGATGTGTTTTTTTTTTTACAACTGAAAAGAAAAGAAACAAGACAATTTACATCCTTACAATTGTGAAAACCTCAGCTTCCATAATGTTCTGGAACGGTGCAACCCTTTTATGCCACTCAAATAATATTACATGCTAAAGTTCAAACGTGTGGTGAAAAATTCTGTCCCTTGTAGCCCGTGGCTTTTGGTCTGTGTGTATCTTAGCATAAGGATTTATCATATTTGGTATGATCAAAAACATGTTTTAAATACTTGGAAAACTAAGATATTCACATATCAAATACCACCATATGGTTTTGCTTCACTTCTGTCGTGATCTCCACTCCTGAATGGCCGAACGTAACGTATGGTTTGGAGTCAATGTAGAATGCTGCATTGTATGCTTAGTTACAGGTGATACATTGTGTTTGCTGAGCCATGCCTTGATTGCTCTATACTCGTAGGTAAAACCATCCGCAGCGACGTGTGGATCATCCATTATTTCCTACATTAACAAGGTCACAGTGAAAAAAGACAAAAAGCTAAATCCAAAAAAAAGAAAAAAAGAACAAAAAGTATTTGAATACGATGAGGACAACCCAAACAACAACTTCATCTGAAAAACTTCATTACTATTAAATAAATGTCCATGAATGGTTTCAAAGACCATATATGTAAAAAGCTTAAACTGTTAAGTCAACACAGTGAAAATTTCTGCTATAATCTCATATCATGTAGACGAGCGGACCTTTTACCTGAAGGATTGGACAATAATATTGGCTTGGTGGGCACATGCTACTATTTCTTCCCACTTTTGCAGTAGCATTTGCCACATCATAGATTCTTTTGAGCAGTGGAAGAACTTCAGTATCAAGATCTGGTCTATCTCTGCATCTCAGTGCCGAGCATCGCAGGGCAATTTGAGCCAACTCTTCCGTTTCAGTTGGTGGCCAATCTCCAGCTGATTTATCTAAAATAAGAGAGAGGGAGCCTTTTTTAACCGCATTTTCTACAGCCAAAATGAGTCCGCGTGCATGGCGAGCGGTTATCAATTGAAGAGTTATAACCCCCAATGCATATACATCTGATTTTGGTCGGACAGTGCCAGTTCTCTGATACTCTGGATCCATGTAATGCAGAGTACCAGCAAGCATAGATTCTCTGTACTCAGTTATATTGTCAGGTATGACGTCTGAAAGGCATTTAGCCAATCCAACATCTGAAATTTTGCTCACATAATTTCTGTCCAGCAAGATATTTCCTGGTTTCATATCTCGATGAACAATTGGCTCAGGCTTTGAATTATGCAAGAACGATAACCCACAAGCCACTTCAAAAACTATACGGAATCGAATGAACCAAGGAAGTGGGGGTTTCCCACTGTTACTGAAAAGGTAGTCATCAAGGCTTCCATTTTCCAGGTATTCATAAACAAGACAGCCAGTTTCAGGACAAGCTCCTAGCAGCAAAACCATGTGTGGATGGTGTAGCTGACTTAGAATCTCAACCTGCAAGAAAAGGGGAAACAATCAAAAGGAATGCCAGCCACGTGATTACTGTAAAAAGTAAGGGAACAAAGTGCAATATGCATTGAAGATACTATAAACCACATCAGTTGTTTAGAAAACAAGGAACAATGAGAGGTAAAGGAGCACAGATATGAGTGTTTAAATAATTTATAAACCAGCAAGGTATCAAGAGGTCAGTTTAATATATGGGATTGCCATTATTATTATACATGGTTAGAATTAGAGCATGGGCTTTTGCGGCAAATTGGAAAGAAAAACATCAGGAATAATATTCAAGATGAGTCAAGGAGGAGCTATTTGGCAACTATCTATGGATAAAAACTTTTCCTCTTCTGGTGGTGAGCTTGCCAGTTTTGAAAGTTCTCAAACTAATCAGATACTGAAGCTTGCCTATATCAAGTCTGATAATAAGACATATCTGTTCACCCATTAGAAATATCAAAAGAATGAAGAACTTCATCAGATGAACATGACAATTCAAAACCAATTCAACTTGGCACAGAAACGTTAGCACAATCAATCTCACTTCATAAGGAAGTAATTCAAAGGAGAAAGGAAAACCTCCTTCAGAAACTCCTCTTTCTTGTTAATTGCATCCTGGTGCAGAACTTTTACAGCTACTGTAGTGTGATCGAGCCTGCACTTATAGACCTTCCCATAACCTCCTTCACCAATCAAAAGATCCTTAGAAAAGTTGTCTGTTGCTTCATTAATTTCGTCCATAGTGTACTTTCTGTACCTCTTGTCACTCGAGAGCAATGTATCAATTATCCGCTTCCTTTCTACAGATTCTTTGAGGACATTAAGTTCAGCCATCTGCCTTTCATACGACTCTTTTGCAAACTTCATTTTTGCCTCCTCAAGTTCCTCCATGACTTTCAAATACTTTTCTTTTTCTTCAGCAGCAATCTTTCTCAAAGCCTCCTCTCTTTTCAGGGAATCATTTACTCTTCTTGATTCTTCAAGATATTCAGCTGAAAGTAAATGAACCTACAGAGCACACACATGAGAGGATGTAAGAACAAGCCGTGAGGCTGTTTATTTTGAGACACAAAAATGTGGTATTTCAAGCTCCTAGTTATTATAGAACTCCAGTTCCGGCAACCTTGCCACAATGAAGCAGACATGGTTGTGGCTTTCAGATAAGTAAACTTTAATTGAAGTCTTATTACATAAGAAAGTTTACGAGCTATTTTTCCATTTCTGAGAAATTGAATTCTTCAGGTCCCTTGTCAGGTCTACCTTGTCCAAAAATTAGAAAATATTTGTAAAGTAATTACTTAGAACATATATTTACGTTAAAACTTGTTGATTAATCTTCAACTTAAGAATTGATAACAAAGGAAAATAAGGTTAGTTAAATTTGAGACCCACAAAAAGTCACAATTAGAATAAAACTAGCAAACTCTCACCTTACTTTGAGAGAGAGCCAACTCTTCACAAAACTGTTTATACATGGCAACAGTATTCCGTAACTCCAGCTGCAGCTGCTCTATTTCTTGCAAGACTGGCTGCATATGTAAATATCATGTGAACACCATTTCTGAATAGGAAAATCACAAGTATCATACTAACAGGAAGGCTAAAAACATTACTTGTTCAATTTGTGCAGAAGCCGTGGAATCAAATGAGTGGATGCTTGCAGTTTCAGCATCATCTCTAAAGCTTTCTAGATTGCCTTCGTTTATAGTGAGATTTTTAAGAGAATTTGCAGCACTAGATGTTTGAGAACCTATGAAACTCCACTCCGAGACTGACATTGATGGGATTCTGTTTGCAAGAAATTCAAGTCCCGTTGTGGAAGAATTAAGTCCTGTTATTTGAGCATCGACATGTCCTGGATTCCCTTGTGTAGACACGGAGTACCTTGAGCTGCTCTCTGTCAGATGAAAAGTGAGAGAGTCAGAATCTTGACAACTGCCTCTACTAATATATATACTCATGACCCCAAACCTACAAAAAGCATGATTGAAAATTAATGTAAAGTGGACAGTGGACACATTCAAGAGTTTATGACTTAGCAGCAGATATTGCTAAAAAGGAAGCATTTCCGCCATACCACGTGAGGGTGAAGATGAAGAATCGCCTAATTTTGATATAATTCTATCTCTAGCTACAAGATATACATCACAAGTGTCAGGAGCACATCTTAGAACAGTTGTTGGTATCCCTGGTCCTTTTAGCTTCCTGACAAAATAAAAATGGAATTTATGGGGAAGTATATGAAAAGAATACTCATTTTCTTAATCATACGTACTAGTAACTCACTAGCACAGAAAAGGTAATAAAAATTCAAAATTTGAATTTGCATATTTTAATGTTACGAAGTTTTCAAGATGCGCACCTTGTTATAAAATTTGAAGAGCCAGTTCCCAACACTAATATTTGAATCTCTGATTCTGATATATATCTAAGTAGTGCAGTTGCAGGATCGTCATCTTCCAGCAACAAGGTTTCAACCTACGACATTTCCAGGATATGAATTCTCTGGCAGTGCAGTCTTGGCAATAGATAAAGACAAGAATATGTACTCACTGTGCTTGTTTTGCAGAGTTTCTTCAATTGAGTAAAGATTTGCTCGAACTTCTCCTTTACATCCTGAATATAAGCTGTTGCCACATGGGCATCTAGATCCATAACAGGGATACACTCTCCAGCTAACATCAGAAAATCCAACAATATCAATGCACTAGTTTTCAGTATGGGTCTCCAGTGACCTCTAAAACATCTTCACTGAAGCAAAAATGTATTAAATCATGTGATTGTCTTAAGCTGCGTTCAGTTTAGAACTATAGATTACTTTTGAGGTTCAGTGTATTAGGCCAATGGATAGCTTTATCATAATTTCTATTTTCTGATTAAAATCTATCAGAAAGAAGCAATTTCTTATATGCTCACTATGCTTGGCGTCGCTGGAGAATTGCAAGAAGTGCTATAAGAATCAAGATCTAGACCTAGTCACAAGGGCATTGATTCTATGTCTATGTTGAAAGCTTTTGTTGTTAAGAAAAATACTCAAATAGTTTGATATTGCCTAACCCATCGGCCTCAGAATCATAAGAAATGGAACGTTCTGTCTACTTGTGCACTGTTTAACTTCTAATTAAAAACATATCAAAATTAGAAAATAGCAAATTACTTCAATTTGTCATGGCTAGTCCAGATAATTGTTCGAGCTAATAACACGCTACCGGCTGAACTACTTATTCTAACCTCCCACCTGCTTTTCTTAATTTTCATGATTCTCTCTTCAAGACGAAAATGCTTCGCAATTAATGACCATTTCGATGGATAAGAAGTTGAAGGAATTGAAAACAACTTTATTAATAATCAAGACTTAAATTTAGCTCATTTTCAAGTTTGGAGAGTGGATTGCTTATGTCTGAAGAAATGAAGAGATGTCTTTAAAAATTCAGGAAAAAAAAAAAGAAACCCTTTTGTCTCTAGAGATATGCAGTTTGAATTCGCAGCACAAAACCAAAAGGAATTGTTTGGTTATACAAAAATTATACAGGAGCAAACTTGACTACTGGGACAAAAAACTACGAAGATTGAGTTATTGTTGAATTAGGCATAAATCAGTTACATACATGGTGTTGGGATTGAAGCGATTCGGGGCATAACATGAACTAAGATGAACCTATCGGCTTGAGGCATAAGATTCTCCACCGCCCACTGGACGGCTCGCCGGCTACCCCTGCCAGCGCTGGAGCCGCCGTTGACAGCAACGGCTACTGATCTCATCCCTATGCCGGCAAGGCCAGGGATTGTAGAGTGGTCAACTCGTCGGAACTTGTTTCTTCGTCAAAGGCTTCAAATTTTGCAGCAAAAACTGGAAGATCGAATATCAGAAAACTTGTTTTTTAGTTCGCAAACTATAACCAAATGCATTTTGACCTGCAGTTGACTTCTCTTTTGGTTTTACTACAATCTTAATTATAAGAGCCAGTTCACTAATTTGAGAAAATTAAGAAAGTAAGTTGAGTTAGTTATTTGTCTTAAATAGGTGTTATCTGTCCTAAAATATTCTTACTAATCAAGTGTATTGGTTAGAACTATCATTGTTAGAAGGGCTACTTTGGAAAAAATGTATAAATATGAGAGATAAAGTAGATTGAGGTTTTATATTTAGGACTAAAATAAAAATAAAATAGGGTCTTATATTAAGGACCGGAGGTAGTATTTTTTTAGAGCAAAATGGATGCTACAACCTTTAAATTTTATTAAAATTTCCACATTTCAGATATACCTGGTTTTCTTTTAGTTTTGGGTTTTACTAAAAATAAATTTGGAGTTTTTATATTTAAATATTGTAAGTTAAATATACAAGAAAAATTTAGTATTTTTTTAATCTTTACTATAAAAATTAAACTTATATTTGTTGTTACATTTATGTTTCTTTAGTGCTTATTCTTAAGATGAGGTTTATAACTTTGTATCGTTCAAATTAAGTTTAAATGATTTAAATTTATAGCTTTTTATTCGTTATGTTAAAGAATTCTCTTTTTTTTTTAATGAAAGTTAAAAACTATATATCTTTAAATTAAAAAATAAGTAAGGAATTCCAATGAAACTTGTAACTTTTCCCAGTAGATTCAAGGAAAAACTAAACATAAGTTTTAAAAAAACAAATGAATTATTATTGATAAATCTTTTGAATTCATATCTTACAATGTGATGAATTAATATTTAAATTTTTATTCGGAAAGACATTCACATTTAGTATCTGACAATGCTTCTAACAAAATTACTTATATTAAAGGAATACTTATGCGTAATAAGGAAAAAAAAATTTTGAATCCAAATTATTACTAATAAGTTTTAAGGGATTTGGAAGTAATTTAAGACAATTTCATTGTAAGTGTTCTTTCCAATCAAATTTGTTAGTGGGACAAGTTGCCCTAGAAAGCAGTGCAAAAAGGCGTTTTGGCCGCAGATGGGGACAACGATGGACAACCCCCTTATTATTAGTAGTAGCGGTAAAGTCAACTTATTAGGTGACGTTTTTGTGCTTCATGCAAAACCCAGTCAAGTGTATGATCGTCAAGAATATAGTCTCACAACATGCTCAGATCAAAATTCTTGTTTCCAAGAGATAGATTTATATGCCGCCTAATTAATTACCAATAATTGGTAGAGAAAAGCAGAAATAATAATATTTCTGTTTTTTAATATAAGAACCAGTTAACTAATTTAAATAGATTAAGAAAACTAATTAAATTGGTTATTTGTAAGTACTGTTTTTCTTAAAATATTCTTGCTAATCAAGTACATTAACTAGAACTACTATTATTACAAGGGTTATCTTAAAGGGAAAAAAAGATAAATATGAGAGACAAAATGAATTGTGATATTATATTTAGAATGAAAATAAAAATTAAACAAATTCTTATATTAAAGACGAGAGGTAATATATAACTTTCTTATCCATATATAAATAGCCTAACCTTGCCGTTTTTTATCTTGTTCATGCATATCGGTTCATATAATAATACAGGAAAACAAACAGCATAACGATGCGACATGGATTTCCATTATAATTTATCATGACTCACTTTAATTTGCAAAACTAAATTCCTAGAAAATTAAGTTCAATACATAAAATTTTCCCTCTTGAAGAGGTTTATCCAAATGGCACGAGAGATTACAAAATCAGACACAAAGTTCGATGTTTTATGTGTACGTACTAATAAGAAAAACACAATTGAGGCCAATATGACCTATACGAAGGTAAATTCTCTTCACCTGCAATAATGTTAGAGGAGCGAGTAAATAAATATACAGCAGAAATTAAACAAAACAACAACAACAGACATTGGAATCATTGTTAGAAACCCCTAAATACAAGTTAAAAACTATGAGTCGTCCAAACCAAGAATTAGTTCAACTATAATTAAAATGGGATATAGGAGAGCCTCAATCATATGCACAAAAGTGCAAATAGTTATCCAAACAATAAAAGCAATAAATTTATAATAGAGAATAAAAAAGCTGAAAAACTACCCAGAAAATAAAGTTCAAAACCAACTTTCTTATACCAAGCAACGTATCATCAATGCAAATGTTGAAAGTGACCTGATCCAACTGTTAATGAACACACAAAAGACTGCCTTATGAAGATGCGAAAATGAAGTATATCTCCTTTCTCTCAAACGAGAGCACCTTTAAATGATATCTCTCACTTTCTTATCCTAATCTGTCCACTATGCTTATATTTTTGACCGGAATGTCCACTTTACTTGGCAATTTGCATGGACGGAAGCCCATACCCAACTTGTACATGATGAGCATACACATGGTTTGATCTTCAGAATTTTCCCACGTCACTGATGATACACACACTCATTTTTAATATAGAAACTAATTAATGAATTAATATTGGTCATATATACAAGCCCTATTTTACATGTTCATTAATTTTTTTCTAAATTAAACCCATTGATTCCTTCAACAACAATCAATTAGAGAAGGGAGGGAGAGAATTAAGGAAGATGACTATGGCGTTTCAGAAAAAAAAATATTTCATATTAACTAATTTAACTAACATATTTAATCTACTTAAATTAATTAATTAAGTTTTATATTAAGTATCGGAGGAGTATCATATATGTGCGTGTCTATGACGACACGATTTCATGTGGTGGGGGCATGTATGGCACTCTGCTGACTTTTACATGTATAGGTGTCTCTTTGAAGAGAGAATAATTTCACTACTGCACCTTTAAGTATGCCTTTACACAAGACATATAACTAAAATGTTCCTCACACACACAATTTCATATCTTCTATATATATAGAACAGGCGTGGAATCCTCCATGATGGAACATAAGTAAGCCTTAAAACATGTACAACATCTGTCTCCCGAAGAAGACAATTGTGTGTGTGTGGTCGTCAAACAGATCGAGAATCGTTTGATTCAGAGATGTGTGTGTGTGCGCGCGCGCGCGCGCAGCTTCAATCTATCAGTATGGTGTCTTCTTGTTTGCATCTGTTGTGGAACAGAAGCAGGCTTCAGAAAACATGTAATAACTTAGCTGAAGCGACACAAATTGGATCAGCATGTATAGAAACAAACGTACATGAAGAAGCATACATAAGTTAAATGTAGTAAAGGCAAATTATTGTGTGACTAGAGAGATGAGAGAGAGAGAGAGAGGAAAGAGAGAGGAAGGTGGTGACAGAAGAGAGCAAGCACACAGCGTTTAGCATGAAATGGCCATGCAAGAAAAAGCCAAGCGCTCACTCTCTTCTGTCACCTCCGTTTCCACAACTTACTTCTGCAACTTAATTCTCTGAGCTTGTTCTTAGTTTCTGTAAATATATATATATAGCTTCAAAGACGCGCACACACACACACTCTGAGAGAGAGAGAGAGAGAGAGAGAGAGCTTCTAAGTTTTCAAGGGTTTGTGTATGTATAAGCGGGATCCTTGGTGGTGCATATATAGGAGTTATTAGGAGAGGGATGTTGAGGAATATATGTTTCATTGAACCCTCCATAGCCACGATGATATGACCTCTCAGGGAATAACATGGTTTAACCCTTCTTTGTTGATTCGCATCTTATTTGGCACTTCCTCCACAATTATAATATTTAAACCATTCATTCGGATAGAATATATATGGCGGCGGCGGGTTATTGCGTTGATTGCTGGGTACTCCAAGCATATCAGTTTCAGATCTGATTGAAAGATTTAAAAATTTTAAATAATTATTTTTGAATAAAAATAACTACTACCTCCGGTCCTAATTATAAGACCCAGTTGACTTATTTGAGGAGATTAAGGAAGCAAGTTAAGTTAGTTATTTGTAATAAATAAGTGTTGTCATTCCTAAAATATCCTTGCTAATTAAGTGTATTGGCTAGAACTATCATTATTAGAAGGACTATCTTGGAAAAAAATGTATAAATATGAGAGACAAAATGGATTGGGGTCTTATAATTAGGACCAAACAAAAAGTCAAACGGGGTCTTATATTAAGGACCGGAGGTAGTATTTTTTTAAAAAATAATAGTTAAAAGATTGTCTTTATTTTAGATTTTGTATCTATTAAAGTAATTATTTTATAAAAATAAAAATAAATAAATCATCAGTGCTTGACTGTCTAGATTTGCACATCATGGGCACCCAAACTCATTCCTTGCTGTTTGCCAATGTATAACGTTTTATTCTAAAAAATTTTCATCAAAATATTAAATCTTTAACTAAATTACACAAAACTCTTATAAATTACAGACTATGTACAAATAATCCCTTAATCTTTACAACTTAATAATCCATCTCTCTAATCTTTTTTAAGTGCTATTTAACGCATTACCTCGCATTTACAAAAGAACTTTCATATCATTAGGTTACAAAACTATTTACATAAAATTTAAATTTGGAATCATTCCATGTTTTTTAAAACCAGAATAATCAATGACCCAATTCATTACCTCCAAGTCTAATTCTAACTCACAAATTCCCAATAATCTTAGCTAGCAAAGAATTTATTTATTGTGGTGAAGGACACAATAATATATACTCTTTCGGTCCTTAATATAAGGCCTCTTTAACTAATATGATTAGATTAAAAAAGTTAAGTAAGTTATTTAATTATAAAAGATATAACATATTTTTTTTAAAATACCATAATTATTTTTCTTAATATCTTCCCTCCCTCATTTACTTGATTATGGTTGAGGGAGTATCTATAAAGATAATTAGAAAAAATTGATAAATATGAGAAATAGGTCTTATATTTAGGATCAAAGTTAATCTAACAATTAGGTCTTATATAAAGGATAGCAAGAGTATATATAAATGGGTTGGTATATATACTATTTTATGATGAACTGGATGGTTTTAATGACGTTTG